TTACTCCTTCATTGTCAACAGCTTTGCTGGAATCTTCTTCTTATGACAAGAAACTGCCCTCTTCTGAAACAGCCCCCTGATAAGGGTAGACCTTTCCCCTCCAAAAACTCTCATTTCCTAAGGCAGTAGATATGTTTACTCCTAGGAACAATTGGGAGGATCCCCAGTTGTTCTCTAATTTGTTTGACTACTATAGTTCAGATTTAAAGTCAAGATGGATCTTCTCCCTTAAGATCAATAGTCAGAGGAGAGGAATAACATTCTGCTGCAAAGGAAAAGGCAAGAACAATCCATTGGAGATGGATTGGTAACATAATTACCAGGGTCTGTCTGCATCAATTTATGGCACTCCAGTGAACAATTTTGCCATTGTTTCAGCTGTTCTTACACAGATGTTGCCATTCAAAAGACGGAAGCCTGGGAATATGCAGAAGGCGTTACAATTTTTATTTTTTTTTTCCTCATGCCAACTGACCATCCAGTGGCCTTGAAAAATCATCAAAAGCATTTGGAAGTGTGACATGTCTCCAAAGGACTCTTCCCATCCTTTGGCTACAGAAAATAGCTCAAAGCATGCAGAGCCAGGCATCAGTAGCAGGAGTATGAAGAACACAGGAACAAGAGGGCAAGGCCATGGAGGAGAAGCACATTAATAAATTTGTACCAGACTTCTGCACATCTCCATTGATAACATGAATAATGAAAACTTCAGGCACCCCTGGCCAGAGCTTGAAAATGAAGCTTTCTTCATTGTGCATTTATGTAAAACCTGAGGCAAAGCTGATTAGAAGCAAGGGAAAGTTGTGAGATCAGAAGGTTTTATAACAGGTCCTAAGTAAGCAGAAACAAGTGCTTCTGTGTCAACACAAACAGTTTTATGCCTGAGCAAACAGCTTCCTGTGGTCTGTGAGGCAATGACACAAGCCAGGTAACACTGAGAGTAGTCCAAACCATCTGATCCACCCCTGTGGGAAGGTTGAATTCCACCTGTAATGCCCTTTGTAAGCAGGGGAGTGACTCTGGGTCACCAATAGTCTTCGCAGTGCATGTTACTGACTGCTGCATGCCACAGTGATTGGAGGAGATGACAAGTACCCTGGCAGGTATTTAAACCTGTTTTCTAGTTAATTTGTTAAAAATCAACCCAGAGCGTTGTGTGCAGTAAAGCTGCTAGGAAGAGAAAACCACTCTAAGGAATAAACACTGCAAAAAAGATCTTTCAGTGATTTCTCAGTATGCCTCATGGCATTTAACAGCCAGCATCAGCTACAGCTAGTTCCTAAGTTTCTGTAAAAGGTCTGCTCAGTAACTGGTAACTGTCCCAGGAGTAGTGAGCATGGCTCAGAGCTGTCTGGCAGCACTGCTGCCCTGTGGGGTGCAGAGTGATGCTGGCTCCTGCAATCATGTGGCCCTGGGACCAGTCCCAAACTCAGACAGATCAGCAACGTCAGTGATCAGAGGCAGCTCCAGGCTGACACAGTTTGTGCCAGCAGCCAGCTCATCTGCAATGATCCCATTGGCATTTGCTGCAGAATAAATATTGTCTGGGATTTTCCATTATATACCCACCCTTGCCAGCAGTGACACAGCAGCGATATAATTTTGAGCTCTGTATTTCCAGTTTTCCACAACCACGCAGAACTAGTAAGAGGACTTGAGTCATTTACCTAAACATAAATATTCACTGATATTTTAGAAAGCCAGAATTGTCCATACAAGGTATTTGCATGGGACTGGCAGGCATGACAAAGGACTTGTGGAAGACCTCTGTCTTCCAGAGTAACAGATGAGAGACAGGAAGAGTACTCCAGCCTTCCTCATATAGGACTGGGTGTCTATTTTTAGGTAACTGAATGAGCTGAGAGCCAGCTTACAGCTGAAGCCATCTAAATACAGGTGCCTAGAGGTGCCCCCGTGTCTAGGATCCCATTACAGTCAGTTGAACTCTGCCACTGGAGACAGGATTGCTATTCAGGCACCAGAGTTTGTTTCAGAAGAAGCTTTCTGGAGTCTTCTGGATACACTGACCCTGCTCATGGCAGGCAGCTGAGATATCCAACTCACACCTCAGCTCACACGCAGAGACAGGTACACAGTGTCATGATAAGGTGTCGTACTTGGTGTGCCGAATCCCGTGCCAAGGTTCTCATCTTTCAGGCCCAGTCCAGTGATGTGACAGTGTACAGAAAGCCCAGCCTAGATCGGCAATGAAAACAAGTGTCTTTTTTTTTTTTTTACTTTCTTTTCTTGTTTGAGCCTTACAGATCTGGTTGTATTACATTAATGTAACTTAAAGCATGCCTGTTGTAAACTAGAACTCTCTGTCACATTCCATGTGACAATGTTCAGCAGCTCAAAATAGTGGGATTGGTGGTCACTCCTCTTGCTGTGTTTCCTGCATCACAGTTCTATCTGGATTTTCAATTGGACATGACTCCTAGGAAGGGGGTGAGACTCATTCCTCCAGGCTGTGCCCCTCACATGGCAGGAAATCAGACAGATGCTTTCCTTTCTTTCCTCTTCCTGTTAGGAACTGCAAAGCAAGAGTGACACAGGGAAATTGTGCTAATTCTACATGGGCCAATTTGTTGCACTCTGCTTTGATTTTTTTTCATAGATGCAGAAGGAATATTGAGGAGAGTTGATGAGGAGCAGCTTGTGATACTCCATACATATTTTTCAGTTTATATAAAAATTTTACATTATTAAGAGCCCTCAGGATATTCTGAAGACCCAGGACTTCAGCTGTGTTCCAGCTACTTGCTTTGACACCCAACATTTGAGATTGCAGGGAACAATTAAGACTGCCCGTGGGTATTTCTGCCCGTTCTTCCCTGTGAGGTGAGTGGAGAGAAGCAGGACTGACTGAAGCTGCCTACCCACATGTCCTTTCCCTTTGCTGACCGTGAGGAGTAGCAGCATGTAGCCAAATACTGAGTCAATCACTCTGTCTTGAATGTGTATGACACCACAGATGTGTAAAGCCACCTCAGGGCCTGTAATACAGGGTGAGGACAAAGGCATTTAAAATTGTGTTGTCAGTTCTTGGGAAATACAAATGCAAAGATGTTAATGCAGAAGTGTGCCCCTTGTTCCTCACCATCCCCACCCCCAAAAATTAGCTGAGATGAGGGATCATAAACTGCCATGTTCTACCTCTCATTTTGCCAAAACTACTAAAGAACTTAAGGGCAGAAAATTCTTAGATGTTATACCTCTAAAGTCTAAAGTTGGTGTCAATCCTCTAAAGTCATGATTGCTGCCATAAGGAGGGAAAAAAAACCAACTATTTTTCCAGTCCACTAGTGCTTCTTATCAAAGGTAGCAAAGCTTGTTTTGTAATAATTCTTTGGGAAGGACATTATTGCATGTAAAGGGCAAAGTCTGGCAGATTTAAAAACTTGGTTAAGTGATAGGGAAATGGTGATAATGAACAACTGTATCAAGGCTCCAGGGAGATTAATCGGGATATGTGCCCAAGGCACCCGTAACAGTAACCAGTAATCAGTGTACACTTTTTAGCTAATGATCTGGAAGAGAAAACACAGGGTGCTTTGGCGTGGTTTCTGTTGACATCAGGAACCTGGCTGTGTAAGGTCCTGATCAGAGGGCAAAGGGCGAAAGTGCAACACCTGCTTATCTCCTGTGAAACCAGAACGCTCTTCAGCCGTGGGTAAACGTGCTGATGTCAGTGCCCCCTGACATGCCAGCAGCAAGCCAGCCTTGCACCGTGACCAGGAGCATGGCCTCTCTTACCCACTGGGCTTGTGCAGGGGAAGGAAAAACCCCCACATTTTGTCTTCTAAGCTGCAGGAGCTTGGCTGGGACTGATGGTCTGTGCACAGTGTGCTGCAGAGAGACCTGGGTCTGCTGGGGCCATGTGCACAGACAGCAGCTTGGGTCCATCCTGCTGCATTTGGGCATCCCTGCTCCCAAGCCTGCCCTGGACAAGGTATAGAATGCATGCATGTGTATTTCTGCTTTGAAAAGCCTGACAGGAGATATGCAAGTAGAGATTGCAGCACAGTAAAAATGATGGGAAAACACAGTGGGTGTTTTTGTTGTTTGTTTCCTTTTTTTTTTTGCTGTAGTAGTTTTTTGAAATCCCTGATGTACTTTAATACATCATGGGATTGTTGTACTTTAATACATTTGGGGCTGTTTCTCCCAACACACCTGGCATACTGGTATATGTCAGAGTGGTACATTTTGATAACTGCAAAATGCAAAAAACAAGATGCTATGTAATCTGCTTCTTTGGCATTACAAGTAAAAATCCTTAAGAAGGTGAAACATTCATTTTTAAGGAGGGTAAACTCAGTACAAAAGGCTGTCACTTTTAGGCTTGCTGCCAGACAGCTGGAATCAGGCTGGTTTTCACTTCTGCTCTTTCAGGTAAAGTATCTACATCCATTTTTACAGTTACTCTATCTTCTTAAAATTAAGGGAGATGCAGGATGTCCCAGGCCAACACAAACCTGCTAAAGGACCAGTTGTACAGGACTGTTGGACCATGACACCATCTGATCACTACCATTTTCTTACACACCAGTTATGGACAGCTTTTGCAAGCTGTCCCATTGCTTCAGAGCTGAAAGACAGCTATCCCTTTAGTCTGTGGGCAAACTTTTAGTTAGATATAAACCAAATGATAGGTGTCTTTCTTTCATCAATTTTATTTTTTTTAAACTGAACAAAAGACAACTATTTTAGAGCATAGGACATGCACTGATGGAAGATTCCCAATTCTCATCTCAAAAGTAATACTGTCCTAATTAAAAAGAGTAAGGAGATGGGTGAGGTGATGAACTGAGTTTAGGTACTAGATAACCTCTTAACCAATGCAACATTAAGCATAAGCAGATCATTCTTCCAGTGGTTCTCCCCACTGCTGTACCTGACACGGTATGGGTGTTGCTTTTCTCATCTCAATTTGATAAGGCTTAAAATAAAAAAGCTCTTGCTTCTACTAGATTTCTTAAAAAACAAAGATACAGACAACCATTTAAAAAGATTTTATTATAAAACTATTTCAACATCTACATCCAAGTAAAAGGCTTAAAACTACAGCTCTGCTTTCAGAATAAAGTCAGTGAATGCTGAAAAAGGTGCTGTATTGTCTAGGCAGATAGCTGTAATTTGTAATATTACACAGATTTCATATGTATTCCTTAAGTAGACTTACACTGACAACCACTGCCTGCATCATGACTGTTCTACAGCTTTGCTCTGCAAGCAGCATCACCAACATTTTTGCAGCACCCACGTGCCTTGGGTACTTTGAAACAGAAATTACTAACGAGCAGCTGCAGCTGTGTTACAGATGTACCATCAGATCGTAACTCAAGTTCAAACATTACTGGATGCAGACAGAAAGGTATCAATCGTGTTTACTTCACAACAATGACTACCTAGGTCTGTGTTTGTGACCTTGTGTTCAATTCAAAAATCAATGAACAGCTATGACAGTGAAAGCAGCTTTTTCACACCTGTATATTCTAGACAAAGGTACTTCCTTTTTATTAGCCATTTCTTTCATTGAGCTGAGCTCATCACGCATGATCTGGTGACTTTTGATGACTGCAGCTAATTCAGCAGAATAAAAACAGCCTACATGCAGTACTAAAGTCATCATGCTCAGCAGTTAATACATCTAAAATTAGTTTTTAAAATAAATGAGGCATATCAATATTTTATTTTCAATGAGAAATACATCTCAACAGGACTTCAAGAACGCAAAGGTAGTTTCCTGTTAAAAACCATTTTAGATTCCTAGTGGAATATGGAGTCATTTTCAGTCCAACAAATAGAAATCTCTAATAGAAAACTGTCATACTGAGCAGAATGCTTTACTGTATCTGCAACTTCTTGCAAAGGATCATACAAACAGATGATAATATGATAATTAGTAAAAAAAAAAATCAACTAATATTCTACAGCCCTGATGAACTTCTGACTGGCCATCTTGCCAATAGTTAGCATCTGTTAAGTTTACCTTGCTTTCAAAAGTGGAAACACACAAAGATGGGCAAGGAAGAAGGTTACTGAGAATGGAATATTTTCTGAACAACTCTCTCCCACTGTCACTGTTCCTGTGGGAATCCCCCCATTTTGCTGTTCATAAACGCTTTCCTGTAGTTTTCAGTGCTGTCCTAAACCCTTTCCATTGCAATGAACAGTTCTCAGAATAAATTTTACAGTTCCACCACCACTCCTGAAAACCTTTCCAACAGACCTTCAGTGTGCACCCATATCTTTCAGGATTTGGATTCCCTATGTACATCTTTGAGCTGATGTGGTCCAATACAGATTTGAAAAAGATAATTGGCAGATTTTGTTTGAATGTATTGAGCCACTAATCTCACAACAGAAACAAACCATAAGACTGTGTTTTAAACATGCTGGTTTTTGCAACATGCTTATACGGTACATATTACCAAAACCTTTCTGTTCAACTTGCATGTCTAACTTCAGTTTATGGAAAATACTAACTGACTTGGCACACATCCTCCAGAATACAGGGACATAGGCCAGATGTACCCTAATGTTAGAGCTGTTACAACCAAGTAGCTTTCCATTTCTTTCCAACAGCTTTTAAAAATACCCTGATTTTCTTCTTCATTACCTTATGCATAGAAGCTCTACTTAGCTTAATTCCCATAAACAGTTCAACATAAAATATCTAGCAATGTGAGTCACAGAGCAAGGCACCACATAAGAATTATTCCTGGAATAGCTTTTTTTTAAAAATGGGACTTCCTTATATATGGCAAACACTTTCTCCCTACTTCTCAGGGCTCCCTCTCCTCCAGTCAGGCTGTACTTAAATGCTGTTTTTATCTTGCTACAAGACTAACCTGTTAAGTGGATCTTTTCCAAATGTTATAAATACAACTTCAAAATATGGATGTTATCTGTCTACCTGAGAAGTTCTGTAATAAGATAAACTGCTGATAACTATTCTAACAGAAAAATATGCATCAGCATAACTTGTTTATCAGTCAGTGTTCAGAATTCAAGCATTAAACAGGATTTATAAATTGCACACCTCTACCACACCAAGTCCTTGATCACAGTAAAAAAATAGCTTGATTTTCCTCTATACACAGCTCTTTTTTAAAGACATATGTGCTCTATTTTCCTCATCCAGAAGTCCACAGCAAGATTTCAGATTCAGTGCATATAGCTTAGGCTTATGATAGTCTTATCTTCTTTTTCCTCTGCTAGTCCTGAAACTTGCTTGTTTGAAGGTAGATGAATACTTCCAAATGCTGCTCTTAAAGCCAGCTTGATCCCCCGGGATGTCTTGATACCATCTTCTCTTCAGGAAGCTGCACTCTGCTTTGCCATATTCTTTGGGTCTTTACTTGGGACACACCAGTCATCTGCCTCTGAGGTAGCCTGGTAATGCTTGGAAGCTGATTTGTTAAAAACTGGCAGTTTTTCCACTGATTCTGTTGATAAGGCCTAAAGGTCAAGAAGGAACAGGTTACTCTCTCTCAATAATGTCACTTAGAAAAAATTCATTCAGCATGCCTAAAGTATTAAGCCAGTGGCACTACAAAATGAAGCTATTCACACAAATGTTTCTATAATAGATATGGTAGTTTATGTGCTTCAGTATCTATGATTACTTTGGGTAATTTGGTAGGACAAATGCAGTAACATCACATCCTATGTATGCATTTTTAATAGGCCTTAAGCAGTATCCTCTAACATGATTTCAAGATAGTCCAGGAATGCATGGAAAAGGACTTTGATTTGCAAAGTTCCAGTCAAAATTTTTCAATGGAAGTGTTGCATATATATAGCTGAACTGTCTCTTCATTTCATACTTCTGCTCTGATTGCACTTCAGTGTTTTCAGTCTAGCAAGAGAATTTAAAGCAATTTTTTCCCCATGACTGGGCACAGAAAGTAGAAAGAGCATGTAGTGCTATTTGCAGGTTTCTTATAGAAACAGCAGTGCAAGTTATATGCCCAGCGTTCAAAATTCCTGATACCTGCATCCACTAGAGGGGCTATACAGCAGATGTTCAACAGCACCTTGACTCCTTAGGGATTTAGTTTATATGGACTTTCTGGTTTTCAGAATAAACAAACCAGATCTGTTGCTATACTTTACTTTGCTCTCTTCAACTGCTTTGTATTCCATGAATGAGTAGATAACATTTTAACACAATCTGAAAACCAACAGGGCTCTCACTAGTAGCTGTTCAAGTAGACTAGTTAAAACTAAGCGACTTTTTTGATACCAGTTAAAAACCAGTTACTAAATCTGTCATTTCTCAATAAAAAACAAGAGCTACTCATGAGCAGAGAATCTGTTTACCTTAAAATGCAAGCAAGTAGTTATCCCACTGCATTAATGATAGCAGTCTTTTATTTGAATAAATTTAAATACATACCTTCAAGTAGATGATAGCATCTGTTCCATAACCACATATGGAGTAAAGATTTAGATCTCCTTGAAAGTATTTAGCATACAGACGAGAAATTGGCAAGCCATACCCAAAGCCGGCCTAAAAATAAAGTACAATATAAAATTAATTATTTTTATACCAGCTCTAATGGCTTAAAGTTAAATAGCTGGAAAGTCTTCAGAGATTTTTAAGCTGCTAAAAAATCCTTTGCAATTCCTCTTCTCTTAGAAGAAAACAAATCTCTCATCAGTTTCTTAGAGAATGCTGAAGCTGACCATTAAAAAACCAAAGTCATAAGAAAAAGATCTCCATAAAAGAGGGAGGGTTTATATATATGTCCCACTTTTACATATTAAATTTCAGTATTTTTCTCTCCATTGATACTGCTAGTACAGCTTGATTAGTAAAAGAAGCTTGCTACTGGGAGATAAACATAATAATCTAAAAGACTGTTCCAGTTGTGCTTGTCTCCAGAAAGACTGCATGATCTACAGTAAGTTTGAGGACTGAGTGGAGAGTGAAGACAAAGTAAATTAGTGTCAGTGGAATGCAGGAAGAAAAGAAAAAAAAAAGGGGGGGGTGCTAAATTCAGGTTGGAATGTTCTTCTTTGTTTATGCCCTTAAAAGAGTATTTTTGTCCACTAAGCTAAATACTAAAATTCTGTTTCCGAAAGTGCAAATTCATACTTATGGGGCTTGGTAACCTTTGCATACCCCACAAAGCAGCAGGATGGACATAGAGCTTCATTATTAGCCCACCAACACTTACAACAACCTAAGTGCAACATGAGTATTGAAAGTATCTTACAAGAGGGGTATTTCGACCATCATCCACATTTGGCCTTGGTGCAGTGGAATACATGTAGCTAAAGAGCCGCTCAATTTTCCTCACTGGAACACCACCTCCTCGGTCTGAGATCTGATTTAGGAGAGAATGAAGTTAACAACAAGCATGCACAAAGAATGGTATTTAAAATGCTGTCGTTTGAACACAACTTTCCAACAGTCATAAATGCAATCATTTGCTTTGTAGCATATTATTTTTCAGCTAGATAATTGTGCTACATGGAGGCTCATATCATCAAGATGGTGCTCTTGTGCTCATGCAGGTCTTTGACCGGTTCTCAGAGCCCAGATCTCTTAGTAGAACTAGCTAAACATGTATAATAAAAAAGATTACATTAAGTCCATTGTATTAGGCCAACAAAATACCTTGATTGCCAGGTCTTCCTTTCCTAGAACAACTGTCACTTCAATCGGAGAAAGGGTAGGACTGTTTTCTTGGAATTCAACAGTCGCTCTCATTGAATTCTATGGAAAAGAAGGTTACCATGATCAGAGGTTGTTGAATCCATGCACTTCAAACCATATCCCCTTTACATAGAGGCAAAATTATCCCTTATTCCTATCAGTGCCTGGTTTCCAAGGGACACACTTAGCATTTTGGCATAATGGGAACAGAAGAAGTCACACACCTAAAAGTGTCTAAGCATAGCCAAGACTCTTCTCAGTGAAAGATTACAATGTTCTTGCCCAACATTAACTCAGGCACTGTAAATTAAATAACATAACTCCCTTAAAGTCAACAGGTTTCTGGAGAAGAGCAAAGTTCAGCAGTTGCTAAAGACTGCCAGATTTCTGTACGTCATGTTGGCAGCACCCAAGTTCAGCTGCCCTCCTAAATACATTGTCCACTCCACAGAAAAGGCAGTAGGGAAAACCTGCAGATGTAATCTCTAAAAGCAGAAGGCTACTGGTGGTCACAAACCCACATCCCACTTCACTCTATCAGTTTATACTAACATACCTTAAAAAGCTCAAAAAGCATGTGAAAAAGATGAGATGGAACATATACAATGCTAATTGGTTCTCCTGGAGCTTTTCCTAAAGGAAAAGAAAAATAAAAAACAATTTAAAAAGTGATGACATTTTTTTATATGGTACCCAAATTTTACAATGGGCAAGTTGCCAAAAATAAAAAAATTAAATCAAGTTTCATTTTTGGTTTTTCCCCCCCTCCAAAACTGGCAAACAGCTTTATGCATTCATAACAGCGTTTAGATTGCAACTGCCACTTGCTTAATAAGTTTCTTTTCAAATAAATAAAAGAATCAAGTATTTATTCCCCTTTATAAATAAAGGACTTCAAACATTAAACAGACTGCTGTCATCAGACACATGCAGGCAACTCAGACCAGGCCCAGCATTTGGGTCAATTCCTCATTCCAGATATGGAGCTCCTCTCTAGCAACTTCTCATATTACTTTAAGTACAGGTTTGTCTGACTTTTCTCAAATTTATAAATGGTACATCAAAAATGTCGTGTTTAAGATATACCAACATTTGAGTTCTAACATGGGGGGTTAAATGAGATGCCTGTAACAGAAAATGAAGAGGAACTAGCCCAAGTCAGATGAACTGGTACATGCACTAAAGTTACAGAATTGGGAGCCTTTTGACTCAGTAGAAGAAGCAGTTTGGCTACTGATAGGAAGCGCTCATCTTACCGTTCACTTGAGTAAGTTTCAGTTCTGGAGATGTTAGGTAATACTGGTCACACAACATCTTGGAACTTTCATAAGCATCTGAAATAATAATTTCAATGAATGATGTAATATATAATATTACAAATCAATAATATCAAGCAATATAATATCAAGCAATGTAAAAATTAATTCTAATCCATGGCAGAATACAGCTTTTAACTGCATTAGTGGCTAAGGTGTTAGACAGTCTAAGACATAGCTAAGGGGATGTGTCTCAAGGGAATGATAACATTGCATCCACTGTGTTCACCAAAAATTGAGAACAATGGGCAATTACAGAAGCATGAGCAAATCTTTGTACAGTTTCATTATTGTATAGAACTGATGCATCTGTTTTCTACCAGTAGGCAAGACCAACCTCATCACCTCAGATAACTTCAGCTCCTACCTCATCTGTCGCTTGCTAGGACTTACTTCAACATGTTTTTTTACCACTACTTTGTATTTTAAATTCTGTTCTCTAAAAGCTCATGCTTTGATAAGCCTGCTTTCAGCTACTTCAGTTAAAGCCAGTCAATATCCTCTACAACAGAAGCTGGTACCCAAACTGCTTGCAATCAGATATAGATACTGATCAGGAAGAGAAATGTTAAAGCTCTGAGAATACGCACCATTCACTACTTCAACAACATCACAGCAAGGATCAATACTTCCAATGTGCCTTGGGTGCCCAGAGCCAGATTTATCATCAAAAAGAAGAGCTGTTTGACATAAGAACAATACAACATTTAATCCCAAATATTATGTTATAAAAAAAGCCCCAAAATTGAGACTAATACAGTGTGATTGCAAGATACAATCACATAAAATACTGAATGTTGTTTATGCCTTTCATGAGTTCAAATGCCATCTACTGTCAGCAAACTATCTTGGCTTTTCTGTGGCTCACCTTTAAAGTTTTTTCAGACATAAAGAATGATATCCCTACATATTCAACCAAAGAGTTATTTCAGTTATTCTGTAGTCTAGGAAACAAGTTTTTCTATTACTTTCTTAAATGACAGATTCAATTTCTAACTTTTCAGTGTCACACAAAATCATGTGAAGCAGTTCTCCAGCAGTTTTAAGAAGTGTTTACATTAACATGTTACTCATTAGGCTGAAGTTTTTTCTCAGGTAAAAATTTCTACTTACTGTGCTGGTTCATTAGCATCCGGGTGGAAATGCGGCTCATGTAAAAACGATCCAAAAAATACTGGATGTTTTGATTGGTGACAGGATCTACTTTAAAAGTGTCTTTGTATTCAATTATTCCTTGTGCCATTGTAGGAACCACATCATGATGTCTGTTTCGGACTCTAATTAGAGTATCTATAAAGCTACGTTAAAAAGAGATTGTTTTAGAATATTATTCTCAGACTACATAGAAGCAAGCTTTGTATTATATAATTATCTAATCTAGCACCAGCAGAGATAAATGCTTAACAGCCTTAATACTAAAATACAGTGTGGTTCTTTTACTCTTTTAAAAGTAATTCTTCATTGCCCTAATACAGAAGTATTTGGCATTTTTAAAACAAAAGGTGTAATGAGCCAAATCAAATTTACCACCTGTGTACTCATTTATTTGAGCAGAGGAAAATGTAAGTAAAGGAAGATGATCCCAAGCTGACATCTTGGAAACAAGCAGAGATATGACATCACAGGTAATTTTTTTTTTTTAATATTTCTCTGTTATGACAGTTCAAGGGGCAATATGACCTTGAAATTAGGCTGCAACAGGTCACATTTATTTGCAATACTGCTAAACATGGTCAGAGATTTCAACCAGCTTGTTCTATGTTCAGCTCTTCCTGCTAGATTATAAAATTCAGCTCATCACAACTCTAAGTCTATAGTATGTTGTAAAACGTAGAATATGAACTAAAAAGTTCATAGAAAAAATGAAATGCTTACTCAGATAAGACTTTTTGGTCATCTGGGCTTTTCTGATGGAACTCAATCAACTCCTTTAGGCTTTGGATGTACCTATTGAAAAGGAGCACAAGAAATAAATGCTATTAATTTGATTGTTATTAATTTAGCAATATGAAAAACACTTTGTCTTGTGCACATCATTAGTCCTAACAAGTCATCTAGGAGTTTTAAGTATCTTTGAAATATCCAAGTTACAACCAACAATGGAATGACAGATGGACACTTCTTGACTGCCTGAACTCCAGAAATTTTAAGTCTTTCCTTGTGCCTGCCACTAGAGAGGAATCTAAGCCCTCACTTAAGCTACCCAGTGATCCCCCTATAATTCTTGAAAAGAGTTGTATTTCAAAGGAAGATCCAAACAACAACACCAATCAGAAAGCAAAACTTTTCCAAATCTGATCAGCTTTGGCAGAAGCTAAGTAGCTGAGCTTCTTGCACTAACATCTGACAGCCTTGACGCATACGGCAAAGGCACAACAGTTTGCTATATTAAGAAGAGTTTCTAGATCTCACTCTAATACTTCTGCTGTTTATGTCAGCCATCCTGGCAAATGCTGCAACTGTGCCAGTAAGCAAGGTTAAATCAGATTCAACTACTGTGTCAACTGCAGAGATTATGTTAATTGAATTTCAAACACTTGCTGCACAGGTCAAGGCAAGATACTTTAGAATAGAAGCTCTGTTAGTAACTCCATCAGTAAGAGATCAAAACAAGTACACAGCCTGCTTTCCCAATTTGTGTGGGTCTCAGGTAATGCTGTGTGGAAACAGAACATGTTTTCTTTTCTCCCTTCCTAAATAATAAGTAAGATTTGCTCTATTAACTATTTCGAACTGTTAACTCTCTGCCCCTCTAAACTATTTTAAGATAACAACATAACCATATTGCTTTTCAATTTAATTTTAGCATGCTAGAAAAGGACAGTGTGTGACAGCTTGCAACACAGATTTGATGAAGCATTCTGCATTTCTATTGCATTTTCTTATCCTTTCTACTATTCAAAAAAGTCTTTAACAAGTTCTCAAAGTGGTGTTACTTTGCATGCTGAATTCAAGCAATTCATACTTACCAGCTTTTTACTAATTTTACTGATGGAGTGCCTAGTAATTTATCAGGAAGAAGATCAATTTCTTTCAGGATGTTTGCAAACCTCACAGGAAGTTCTTGTCGTAAAAATGAGAAAGAAGTTCTCTCACATCCATTATTCGAGCCTATGAATAAATCCAAAATAAAGTTTTTGTTTAAAGAAGTTTCAAGATGCAAATACAGATTGCTGACTTTCCATAAACTTCAGGACTTTATTTTCCCTGCATTCACGAGGCTTTTACTGGCCAGCTCACCTAAGTGTTAGGTGTTACAGGTTTGTGTTGAACGGTGTTTACATGACAGTAAGCCACAGCGCGTTCCTGGACGGAATACTTGAACAGCTCCCATTTAGACATGAGACTTAATTGCAATCCCCTGAGAAGCACTCCGGTAAACAGGAGGTTGTTGGGGGTGACGTCTGGCAGTATCATGTGCGCACAGCCGCCGGCGCTGCCAAAGCGATAATGGATCGGGGAACAGCGCGTTCGCTCCGCCCGACGGCTCCGCCCGGCTCCGAGTGCGCGGAGCACCAACACGCCCCGCAGCCCGTGTCCCTCTCCGTGCCTGCGCCCTACCAACGCCGCCCCAACAGTGTTGGAGCGCATCTTCAGCTC